CCCCCTCAGTCTCCTCTTTTCTAAATTGAAAAGTCCCAGTCGCTTTAACCTCTCCTCATATGGGGCCCGTTCCAAACCCCTAATCATTTTAGTTGCCCTTTTCTGAACCCTTTCCAAGGCCAAAATATCTTTTTTGAGGTGAGGACACAGTATTCAAGATGTGGGCGTACCATAGTTTTATACAGGGGCAGTAAGATATTCTGGGTCTTATTTTCTATCCCTTTCCTAATAATTCCTAGCATCCTATTTGCCTTTTTGACCGCCGCTGCACACTGCGTGGAAGTTTTCAGAGAACTGTCCACGATAACTCCAAGATCTCTTTCCTGATCTGTCATAGCCAAATTAGCCCCCATCATACTGTACGTATAGTTGGGGTTATTTTTCCCGACGTGCATTACTTTACACTTATCCACATTAAATTTCATTTGCCATTTTGTTGCCCAGTATTTCCTGTTTCCCTCGGATGGAAGCCCAGCAGGGACAATTTTCCCCTGCCACGTCTGGCAGAGGCGTGAGGAGTGTGGGGCCATTTAAAAGCGCAGCACCTTCTCCCCCGCAACAACTTTGGTCCCCCCCCCCTTATTTTTTGCTCAACAACTTTGGTCTCTCCCCCCTTTTTTTTTGGTGCAGAATTTTTTTCCCATTTGTGGGGGGGTGGGCATTTGGTATTTTTTGTTAAACCATCTGGCACCCCTACTAGTAAGATGATTTTTTTTAACATCAAGGCAATTCAACTTTCCAGTGGAATTGTAGGTGTTGTAGGGGTTGGGAAGATATATTACTCTATTTTAATATAATGCACATTTTGTGGACTTGGGGACTATTTGTGGCCTTTGAAGCTGAGCTTGTAGCACTTAAGACAGCTGAGGTAGGAACAAAATTTCTGTTTATTTATGATTAGACATGTTCCCTGATCTATGCCTTACAGTTTAATAAAGTGTTTGAAACAGCTTCATAACTACAGAGAGACAGAGACAGTAAGGGTCACCATGTTTCTAATTGCCTCTGACTATTTACCCTATAATGTAGTCCCAAAAAGAAGGTGGACATTGGCTGGCTGTTGACCCATCTCAACTTCAGCTGCTCATTAGTTGCCCTGCTGGCCACCTGTTGCATTGTAGGGGTTGGAGGCAAGAGTTATTCTATTTGCTTCATTGCCTGCTTGCTTGCCCGTGTTGGGAAGCCATAATGAAAGCATGATAGGAGCTTCAGAGGGACTGCCTGAGACTAGGAAGGCAGCCGGTAGTAAAAGATTGTTCACTTCTTCCACTCAGCCAGTTAGGTTAGCCCAGAGGGGTGGGGAGGAAGGAAAGCTAGAAACCAACAGCTAGATAGAACTCCTTGATTCCCTACCCCAGCCCAGCTTAGAGCTGTCTTTAGTTTTGGACCAGGTTATCCAGAATGAAATGCATACTCCACCCAATATCCCTGTCCTCCCCTAACATATATACCATTAGCTCTGGGAAGAAAGAAATAGGAGCTAGTTATGTTGGTTTTACAGTTATTGAGAAGTCCTCCAGAAACCCTATTTTTCTCTCTTCTCGCTATGTGAGGTTTTCCAAAGGGATCAGAAAAACGCAGAGAATCTGCCACAAAATATTGATTGTTGGTTTTTGGCCTTTTGAAATAATATATTTGGCCCTCAGGCTAGAAAAAAAATTGATGCTGCTGATGTACATCAGTACTTTTATTGGAAATAAAAATGCAGATATATTTGTTAGTACAGAACTAATTCATGGATCCTTCTTTATCCTCTGCTTTAGTTAATTTAGTTTGTTTTAGTTGTAGGTGTGTGTTGATTTGTGTGATTGTTAACATCATTCCTTTTCATGTCCCCATTTATGATTAATTTTCTATTATTTAGCATTTTTGTATTGCTCTTAAGGTGCACACTGTTAATGTACTTTTTTTTTTTTTTACAGTCAGTCCTCCCTCTATTTAGATGTCTAAATACACTAGAAAGGAACGTAGAGAAGTTCAGCATTTATACAAATGTTAATGATTGCCATATAACTTTTCAGCTCTTCTGCAAACATGGTAGGTTAAATGTAATATGACTTCATAAAAACATTAAACATTTCACTCATGTAAATATTTTGTCATCTTTGTATTTCTGATTAAAAAATGTATTTTCTGTCATTATCAGAATGTTATACCTATCATTTTCCATTATAAAAAATCTTTGCAACTATTCATATCTTTTGGGTCCTTGACTTTGCCACCTAAATATCTTATCTATCTATCTATCTATCTATCTATCTATCTATCTATGACTCCATCTGTCTGTGCATATGTGAGTTTGTTCAAGAGCTCCTCCTAAACTGTAAGAGCTAGGACCACCAAATTTGATATGCAGTTTCTTTTTACGCTATCTTAAACCAAGGTCAGGGTTTGGTTGTACATGGAAAGTCCCAGGAATGGGACTGTTTTTAATAACATGGAAAGTGAGGGTCAAAGAGCAGAGGGATGTGATACTGAGAACGGCCAATGGGGCAGCTGCAGCACAGAGAGTGGCCAGCAGGGCTGGGACTCCATCATCTTGTCTGCCTCCAGACCAGGTGAGGAACTCCTTTACCCCAAACCCGGAGCCTGTCCTGCCCCATGGGGAGCCTGCAGGCTGTGGGGAGAGCAGACTGCTGGAGAAGAGGGCAGCCCCTAGAGCCCTCCAGCCTCGCCCCCTCCCAGCAGCCTGCAGGCTGTGAGGGGCTGCTGGAGGAGATGGAGCTCCCAGAGCCTGTCCCCCCAACAGCCTGCAAGCCGGGTGGGAAAGCTGCTGGAGGGGCAACTGATGGGGGGAAGCCCCCAGCATCTGCCCTCCCCCCCAAACAGCTTGTAGGCCACGGGAAGGCCGCTTGAGGCCAGGGACAGCATTTAGAGCCTCACCCACCCTCCAAGACAGCCTATAGGCTGGGGGGGGGGGGGAGGAGAGGGGGGG